ATCTATCTATCTATCTATCTATCTATCTATCTATCTATCTATCTATCTATCTATCTATCTCATCTATATCTATATCCATATCCATATCCATATCTATATCTATATCTATTAGCCCAAGGCAGAGCGACCCACAGTGTGGACTCCTGAATGTGTTACCCCCTGTATTTCTGGGTTTCACCTTGGTGTTCAGAACCAAACTCTCACCATCAACACCATCATCGTTGCTGTTGCTGTCCTAGGGATGGGACCCAGGGCCTTGTGACAGACCACACAGCCATGCTCACCCCTCACTGGGGGATTCCAGGCAGGAGCTCTGTTACTGAGCCATACCCCTCACTGGGGAGTTTACATTCCAAACATTCTTCTATCTTTTTAAGATGTATTTTATTGTATTCATCTGTACGTGTGTCTGTGTGTCTGTCTGGGTACCATGTCGGCCAGAAGAGGGCATCAGAAGGTATCAGATGCATTAGCTATTTGTGCGCTGGCTTATGTGGGTCCCGGAATCAGAACTTGGCTTCTTTGAAATTGCTGTGAGTACTTCTAACCACTGAGTCAAAAACTCTCCAGTCCGTTTTTTTTTGAGGGGAGGGCAGGGAGATTTAAGACAAGGTCGTCTGTATAGCCCTGGCTGCCCTAGAACTCACTCTGTAGACCAGGCTGGCCTTGAACCCAGAGATCTACCTGCCTCTGCCTCCTGAGCACTGGGACTAACAATGTGAACTACCACTGCCCGGCAGCTTCTTACTTTTTGAGACTGAATCTCCCTGTGCTTTTGGAGTTGAATTTAAGCTTTCTGATCTCATGTCTCAGCCTCCTTTGTCTTGGGAATGAATGGCTTGATCTACTGATCACTCAAAGAGATCTGGATGCTTGAAGAGTATTTGGTGATACCCACAGTATTGGCCATCCTAATCCTCCATACTGACAGGGACAGCGATGTGGAGCGGGGCCTGCAAAGGTAGCATGCAGAACTTTAGCGGGACACTAATGGCATGCAGTTGCTACACGGAAGTGGAGTGTGGAAATTGCTCCCTGAGATAGAGTGACATGAAACCAGTGACAGAAACTGGACCTTGCAATCCATGTCTGAGCATGCTCAGTCCAGTCAGGACCTTATAATCCATGTCTGAGCATGCTCGGTCCTGCCATCAAGAGTGTGAAGCAGATACAGCCAAAAGCTGTTCTTATGAACTTTTGGTGGGTACTGTTCTCCAAAACAAAGCAATATGCTGTGGTTTCTTTCCCCCAGAAAAGATGAATCCAAGGGTTGTAGCTCAGCGGCAGACAATGGGCTACTATACCTAGGCTCAGGCTCCGTCACTATGAACTCATTAGACAAAACCTATGTCCTAGATGAGCCTGGTGGCCCAGATCTGTTATCCTAGGAATTTAGGAGGCTGAGACACAAGAATCAAAAGTTCAAGACTATCCAGAACAGCTTAGTGAGACCCCCCATCTCCAACAAATTAATAGAGGGTTGTGGGCATGGCTCAGTGGTAGAGCCCCTACCTAGAATCCTCCAGTGGGGCTAAGGGCATGGCGTGGTGGCAGAACACTTCCTGTACCGTCCCGGAAGCCCTGGGTTCAGTTCTTTCTTTGGAAACACAGTTCTGAGGTTGCATAAATGCGTCATGGCTTTAGAAAAAGCAGCTAGATCGTTTTAGCTTCTCGGTGAGTCATGGGGGGTTTTCTCATGGGCTCTGCAGCATACAGCATGGGCAGGGCACCTGCCACTTTTATAAAATGGCCTGGTGACATGGTGTCACCTTCCAGGGTTGGGAACACTTAGCTCTACTCACAGATAGGAAGAACTCTGCCTCCTGCCAGCTGCTCGGCTTTGGGCAAGCCACTCCCACCCTCTGTGCCCATGAAGATAGGAAACATGACATCGTGGGGTGGCTGTGGCAGAGTGAGAGAGGACTCTCCCCAGCAGGGTGTCAGTGGAGGGGCCCTGCAACCTGCCACCCTCCTTGCTCTCCCTCACATGTGCCTTCCTCTCTCGCAGCCAGAAGCTGCAGGGGGAATATTTCCGGTACAAAGGCATTCCCTTCCCCGTCGGCATGTACTCACCCGAGAGCCTCAGCCTGGCAGAGAACACTGACAATGTGCGGGATGAGGACATTTTCATTGTCACCTATCCCAAATCAGGTACGTACAACCTGGGCTCGGGGAGAAGTGGGGAGGGAAGGAGCCCGCAAACCTCCGCTGAAGCACCTTCTTGGGTACTGCCCACTAACTCCCTGCTACAGGCAGACTTCAAAGACCTGGCCAATTCCCTTCCCCTCCAGGGCTGCAACCGTCTCCCTAGACCTCCCCGTCCCCTCAGCCCCCACAGCACTGAGTGTCCCCAAGCCTCCCCCGTCCCTTCAGCCCCCACAGCACTGAGTGTCCCCAGGCCTCCCCCGTCCCCTCA